TCAAGTACCCAGGTCCAATACCATGAAGGGCTTTGTAGGTGACAAAAGGAAGGCTATTCTCACTTTTGTATGACAATAAACCATTTAATAGCAACCCCATGACCAAACAATACCCTTTCCTATCCCAGGAATACTCAGACCTAAGATTCTTATACCTCTATGGTACTGAAATCAGAAAACCGCTGCCTATAATCGTTTCAAAAATGCCTCAATCACAGATAAGCTATATAATTCTAAAAAAAAAAGCTCTTTCCATTATAAAATCCCCATGCTGGTTTGTGTAATTTTAAAGGTATGCACCAGCTGGAAGCCCCATTCTTTTTATATCAGCCTATTGAAGGACAACAGCTGGCCTCCATAAGTTGTGAATGCCCCAACACTGGGAGTCTTTAAGAAGATGTTGGATAGCCATTTGTCTGAAACGGTATAAGGTTTCCTGCCTAGGCAGGGGGTTGGACTAGAAGACCTCCAAGGTCCCTTCCAACTCTGCTATTGTATTGTATTTATTGTAAAAAAAAATAGCTTTAGTACTTAGATTTTCAGTCTTCATTCCTAATACCTTGAACAGTAAGTGGCATAAAATGATTGGAATCATAAAGAAATAGCACATTGTTCATTTTCTAAAACAAAGCTTTTCAGTATTTGTCTTAAATTTCATAGAGACATATAACTACACTAATATTATTTTGTGACTCACTTAACAAAGTTATACTTACTAAGCTTGGTCAGCTCTTCCCGGAGATTCTGACATTCTTGTGTTTCATTAACAAGCCTCTCCTGACTTTGAGCCAGTCGTTTTTCAACTTCAAAGTATTGTTGCTCTGCAAAACACCCATTAATACACTTCAGTATTATCCCTTGCAGGAAAAAAAAAAAAATGTAACCTTTGCCCCTTTGGTCTAGTGGTTAAGACATCAAGCTAGAAACTAGGAGACTAGGAGTTCTAGTCTCGCCTTAAGCATGAAAACCAGCTGGGTGACTTTTGGCCTAGGAAGAGGAAGAAGGATCAGATGTATTTGCCACCTTCTTTCTCTATCAAACTGTATCCACATCAGCTCTGACATTACGATCAAGGAAGTTTAACACATCTATGTCAGAACAGCACGTGTAGGATTACTTCTTAAATTGATTTCAATGAAATTGTTAAGATAATCAAAGGGCCAGCAACCATTGGTAGCCTCATATTTATATAAGCAATGAATATTGTATAATACTCAGCCATAGACCAAGCTAATGACTTGTTTGGAATTTAGAGTTAAGGGCGACAAGACATAGTTATAAAAAAATTCTGATATGCGGAGGAAAGCATGAGTACAGTTAACACATCTATTCAGATCTTCGTAACGTTAAGACCACAACTGAAGCCAAAATTTAATGTTGCTAAGTGAGACGTTTGTTAAACGAATTTTGCCCCATTTCATGAACTTTCCTGCNCAGTCAGCTAAAGTAGCCTGCAGTACTGCACTCTAACCACTACGCCACCTCGGTTCTCTCTTATGCTAGTTGCAGGCAGTCCTACCCCTTCTCTGTAGCTTTTGTTCTCTAAGAACAAGCTACTGAGATTCAGTGGCACACAGGCAATTAATTATTACTTAATTAATTAATAATCAATTAATTAATTATTAATTGCCTGTGTGCCACTGGCATTCTGGATACAAAAAGCAAAAGCAAAGCAGGAGTGTATCACTGCTATTAAGCTTTTTAGAAATGGAGGAAATGTCACAAAATGCTCAGTTTCCCAGAACATAACACGTTTCAATTGTGAGGGAATAGTTATAGGGTGCTTAGAAATATCTATAAGTTTTAAGAAGGAATAACTGAAATAAGATGTTAGAATTGCAATAACCTCCTGTCCACACGAACAAAGGATGTCTCACTAACCACTTCCCAATACTTACTTTTACAGAAAGGGATGATGTCTGAAGCTCATCTAGTTTTAACTGAAGCTCTATTTTTGCAGTATTTGTTGCTGTGAGTTTCTCATTCAGATGTTTAACATCCTCTGTAAAAAAGAACACAAATAGGATGTATCAAGAGGATGTTAAAATGCCCAAAGTGAGACAACACAACCGATGTTAAAATCAACTTTCCTAAATTGAAACTGACCCAGTTTATAACTTATTGGTTACTTTTTGTGACATTTATTTTGGACCGTGCTCCTTTTTCAGGTTTCACATTAGATGCCTATCCGCTGAGATTTAACCACCAAGATATAATTCATTAACCTGGCTTCGAAAGGAAAATCTCTCTTGATCACTTTCCCACATACTGCCCTCATCCTCAACAATCAAAACAACTGTTTAAAGTTTGGGTAACAGTAAGAAGCTGAGTTCAACGCAGAGATCCTTTCAATCCTTTTCTTCTGCTTTGTTTTTAAGATATCTTAGACTGTGTTTGTTAAAAAGCTATACCGTGTACGGGCTCTGGGAAGTCGGGGGGAGGAAAGGGAGGTGGGGTTTTAGGGGGAGGGGGGAAATATAATATGTCTTAGATCTCAAAGCACATGATTGCACTTGTATACTGTGGCTTTTTAATGTTAGTGTAAAAATAGGACAAGCTGAATATATTGATAGACAATAGAAATACACCGAAGGGAGGAGTAGAGCGAAAGAAGAAAGAGGGGTAGTGAGGGAGAGAGGATTGGAGGTAGTAGGAGAAGGAAGGGAGGGAATGTATTGGGAGAGAGGAGCGATAGAGGGGGAGGGGAAGTAGGTTAGAGGG